CCGCCAAGAAACCAGCCGTGAAGAAAACAACGGCCAAGAAGGTGACAGCGAAGAAATCCCCAGCCAAGAAAGCAACAGGCAAGAAAGCGGCCGGCAAGAAGGCAGCAACGCCAAAGAAAGCGGTGAAGAAAGCAGCGCCTAAGAAAAAGACTCCCGTGAAGAAGGTGAAAAAGACCAAGAGCCCCAAGGCCGCAAAACCGGTCCCGAAATCGGGGAAACCGAAGGCCAAGCCCAAAGCGAAAGTGACCAAGAAAGCAGCAAAGAAATGAAGCAGTCGGTGCAACATGTAACCACCTGAACCCAAAGGCTCTTCTCAGAGCCACCCACATCTCTCAGGAAAGAGCTGAGCCCGGATCGAATGATCCCTTTCCCGGTTCCGAGTGCAGACATAGCTTAAACATGAATTGATTCGAGTAACTCAAATATCACACTTGCCGTGATTTACGAGAGCGGAGACTGAGAATGGGGAAGGTATCACATGGGGAGGGTCAATGGAACTGCATCTCGTTATTTCATACCTCGAGTTGGAATTCTGCCCAGACACTAATGTTACATATTGCAGTTTATGTATCTCATTAACCCTTACAGGAATTACATTTTGTTTAGTTTTGATGCTGGGACCCCTGGCGATATTTTAATGGTGTATTCCTTCAATTTACCTGTTAAAGACATTTCAGGCAGCAATTACAAATCGTGTTCTGCTCACAATCTTTGCGAAATACAAATGTACCGAAAAAATGGGATTCTGTAAATATTCGTTTTGAAGATGTTTAAATCGGCGGGTTTGATAAGATTGATTAATCGCGGTTACACGGCCGGTTGATCAGTTTGTCTGGGCTGTATGACACCCCGCGCTTTCCTTCTGCCTGTTACAGACAGATCAGGCAATGATCCCGTGTCCGGTCCGCGCTGTGCGCAAGCTCGGTTTAAAAAAAAAAATGGGGAAAGCAGCGCATGCGCGATACTTGCCCTTTCCCCACCGCCTCCCCACAAATGCTGGTTGTTGCAGACTAGAGGAGCGCATGCGTGAGGCCCTCTCCCAGCGCTGCCATTGAGGAGTATTTACTCAGTGAGTGGAAGAGGTTTGTTTGAAACAGACCGCAATGGAGAGACCAGCAGGTTCTTTCCAGCAACATATCGAGGTGTGAGTTTGGGACACAGAGGGTGCTCCGAGACCGGCATTGATTCGGGCTCCGTTCAGGGAGAGCCGGGGGCTGTTTGTCAGAGGCCGAGCGGGGCAGGAACTGGTCCCGGAGCTTGGAGTGAGCGGCCTGGCGGGAAAGAGAGAGGCCTTTCTCGGGCTGTGTGTGGGCCTGCTGAGGGAGACACAGCGGCAAGAAGCTGCTGGGGGTCATTCTTGTGGTTTTCAAATCTCTAAACACTGATGCAAATTACTGTTTGGCCTCTATTTCACGCTGTTTGTTGACATTGTGTGGTAAATAGTGGAAACATAGACAAGATTGTGGGAATACAAGTATCTTGTGTAGGACGCAGATTGGAGCTAACAGATCATATGTCTGGAGTAAAACATTTGAAATAGTGCCTATTGTTCTTTTCAACAGTTAGTGTGTTGGAATCTGGTAACATGAACTGTGTCAACATTGCAGCATCTTCGGTAGCACCTTAAATGGAGCTGTGAAATTATTGCTTAGTTTCTGAATCTCACTCAATTGGTATCGAATTATATATTTTTAAAAAAAATCCTCAGACAAGGAGCAGCTCGATGTAAGAATGGAATCAGACTTGTGTTTGAATTGATGGCTTTAAAGAAAAGACAGAATTCTCATTACACAAAGTTCTTGTCCAATAGGTTTATTTAAGATCATAAGCTTTTGGAGTTCTGCTCCTTTGACAAGTGAAGTTAAAGAAAAGGAACATCCTAATAACTATTAACTGAATATACGTTAATCTGTTTGAAATTGTCAAACTTGGCTGATGTTGATTTACAGGAGATATCTCTTTTGTCTTCCTCCAGGAAAATACTCGAAGGACCAAGATGATGTAATATTTTGTCGGTGCAAAGCCAAGTGTGAGCAGCTGCTTCTAACTAACAGCAGGTATGTTACTGCGATCAGAATGGAGAATATCCTTTCCACAGTGACAGAGCGGATTGAATCAGACTTATATTGAGCTCAATTTCCAGAGTTGTATCCAAAGATACAACCAACCAAGCACAACTGAGAAAAGGCAAGATTTTTTTTTTGTTTCCATTGTGAATTGACATCATGCTAGTTCCAATTAATATCATTCATAGCCCATTACCATTCACATCATGTTTGAAATGTTAACGGCTGACTCCTTGTTGAAAGTACTCAAACAGGAAAGGAATCAAGTTTACATTTAGTAAGGGTATTTTATAATGTCACAAACCAGACAAAAAAAGACTCCTCCTACTGCCCTCTTGATCATGACCCCGCCCTGACCACCAAAACATCATCTCTCAGACCATCCACAACCTCATCACCTCAGGTAACCTCCCACCCCGCACCACCCATTTCTGCCTCCTTCCCAAAATCCACAAACCCAACTGCCCTAGTTGACCCATTGTCTCTGCGTGATCCTGCCCCACCGAACTTATCTCCAATGATCTCAACTCCATTTTCTCCCCCCTGGTCCAGGAACTCCCCACCTACGTCTGTGACACCACCCACGCCCTCCACCTCCTTCAAAACATCCGATTCCCTGGTCCTCAACGCCTCATCTTCACCATGGACGTCCAGTCCCTGTATACTTGCAATCCCCATGCAGATGGCCTAAAAGCCCTCTGCTTCTTCCATCTCCCGCAGGCCCGACCAGTCCCCCTCCACCGATATCCTTATCTGCTTAGCTAAACTCGCCCTTACCCTGAACATCTCCTTCAACTCCTCCCACTTCCTACAGACAAAGGGGGTGGCCATGGGTACACGCATGGGCCCAAGCTATGCCTGCCTCTTTGTAGGATACATGGAACAGCTGCTCTTCTGCAGCTACACTGGCCCCACCCTCTGTTATATTGATGACTGTATCGGCGCCGCCTTGTGCTCCCACGAGGAGCTCGAACAGTTCATCCACTTTACTAACACCTTCCACCCCAACCTTAAGTTCACCTGGACCATCTCTGATACCTCTCTCTCCTTCCTGGACATCTCTGTTTCCATCTCTGGCAACCAGCTGGAAACTGATATCTATTTCAAGCCTACCAACTCCCACAGCAACCTCGAATACACCTCCTCTCACCCACCTTCCTGCAAGAATGCCATCCTCTATTCCCAAATCCTTCACCTCTGCCGCATCTGCTCCCGAGATGAGGCATTCCACTCCCGGACATCGCAGATGTCCTCGTTTTTCAAGGACTGCAATTTCCCCTCCACAGTGGTCGAAAATGGCTTTGACCACATCTCTCGCGTTTCTCGCAACTCATCCCTCACACCCCCCTTCCACAATAACAACAAAGACAGAATCCCCCTTGTCCTCACGTATCACTCCACCAACCTCCGGATTCAACGCATCATCCTCCGCTACTTCCACCACCTACAATCTGACCCCACTACCAAGGACATTTTTCCCTCCCCACCCTTATCTGCCTTCCGGAGGGACCATTCTCTCTGTGACTCCCTCGTCCACTCCACACTCCCCACTAGTTCCACCACGCCTCGCACTTTTCCCTGCAACCGCAGGAAGTGCTACACCTGCCCTGACACCTCTTCCCTCATCCCCATCCCAGGCCCCAAGAAAACATTCCACATTAAACAGATGTTCACCTGCACATCTGTTTAATGTGGTGTATTGTATCCACTGTTCCCGTTGTGGCCTTCTCTACATCGGGGAAACCAAGCAGAGGCTTGGAGACCGCTTTGTCGAACACCTACGCTCGCATCGTGACAAATGACTGCACCTCCCAGTCGCAAACCACTTCAACTCCGCCTCCCACTCCTTGGACGGTATGTCCATCCCAGGCCGCCTCCAGCGCCACAACGATGCCACCCGAAGGCTGCAGGAACAGCACCTCATATTTCGCTTGGGAACCCTGCAGCCCAATGGTCTCAATGTGGACTTCACAAGCTTAAATCTCCCCACCCCCAACCTCATCCCAAAACCAGCCCAGCTCGTCCCCGCCTCCTTGACCTGTCCATCTTTTCTCCCACCTTGCTGACCAACCCCCACCCGCACTTCCTGCCTACTAGCCTCATCCCCACCTCCTTGACCTGTCCATCTTCTCTCCACCTATCTGGTCCTTTATCCACCTTCCATCATCGTCTCCTCACCTCTCTCTATATTTCAGAGTCCCCTTCCCCTCCCCCATTTCTGAAATAGGGTCCAGTCCCAAAACGTCAGCTTTTCTGCTCCTCTGATGCTGCCTGGACTGCTGTGTTCATCCAGCTCTACACCTTCTTACCCCCTCAAAGAAAGACATCACGTTGTTACATAGTTTCAACAACCACGTGTGACAAGTAGTGTTACTGACAAGTAGCAAATCACTACTGAGCGCATACAGACACATACACAAAGTTGCTGACTGATTCAGACTGAGTCCCAAATATGTTCATTGTATCAACACATAAGATACAAAGACTAGCAACAATGTATACCCATACACACTACAGGTAACAGAAGCAAATACATATAAAGTGTTTGTGGCTCTTCTTTTATATAAGCAGAGGAGTCTACAGGATAGAAAAAAGACCTTTCAGCCCATCAAGTTGATAGTAGACAAAAACAAGCACCTGACAATTCTAATTCCATTCAGCCAGCATTCCATTGCAATAAGTGTGTCATGGCAGTACATGATTTACCAACCCCAACTTTATCACAACATAATTCTCAACTTGTTCACCTTCAGGAATAGAAACCATATTTTCCATCTGTCTAGCAAACTTTTTTTTGAAAAAAGAACATTGTTTAACTTTGTTTCCAAATTCACATTAGTTTTCTACAGTGTCACTTTCCCCTCCCAATAAAATATTGCAAAAAAGCAAGAAAATAGAATGCAATTTCTTCACCTTAATGATATAATCACCATTTAAAGCAATGAAGAATGATCCATTTAACTAAATCTTGTAATTGTTAAATTTTATCTTTTTTTTTAGCAAAAAGAGTTCAACCATGTTCAATAAGTTTAAATCTTCTCCACTGTAAGACAGAAAATAAAGTCTTTTTGCTTTCCTCATCCCCACCACAGAGCATCATAAGAGTATTGCTGATGGCTTGCACCATTACACCACCGAGCAGGGTTATGTGATATCCATGATAGAATAATTAAGTGAATTAGCCAATACTCTTTCCTGTAGAAGGAACATTGTGGTCATTTCAGCTGAATACAGTTGATTTGTTCATTGCCCTTTCCCTTAGAGTCTAACAAAGGAAGCCACATCTATCCATTCCTCAGCATTATTCACAAAATTATGTTATTCTGCACTCGGAAAAGCTGACGTCCTGAAGAACAGCCCTTGATATAATGTCTCCCAGTTAGACTCTGCACTGTTGGAGTTACAAAACCCTTTGCTTTTACATTACACAAAAAAAATGCATGGAGCAAAAACTGACAGGTACGGGTTGACAACTGCACTCATACATTCTCAAAGCAGAAACTGACAGGCATGGATTAATAACTAAATTCACAGATTCACAAAGCAGTAGCTGGTATGTACAGATTGATAACTATACTTAGATATTCACAGAATAGAAACATACAGAGCAAGAGTGATATCTGTATTCTCATTCATGTTGTAGAAACATGTAGGTACAGATTGCTAACTACACTCATAAACACATACATCACAAACTGACAAGGAGAAATTGCTATTTATATTTCTATACCAGAACAGGCAGGTCCAAATTGCTAAGTACATTCACATATTCACAGCACACTCACTAGCTGATAGGGAAAGATTGATTAAATGCCCTGAAATAGTCACGTAGCAGAGACTGCCAGTTACAGATTAATAACTGCACACTCAGATACACAGAGCTGAAACTGACGGGGACTGACCGGTAAATAGACTCAGACGTTCACATGGTAGTTACTGACAGAGAAAGTCTGATAACAAATCTATCCTATCCACACAGCAAAAACTGACAGGAACAGATTAATAATAAAACTCGCAGTTTCACATTGTTTAAATTGACAGGTACAGTTTTATAACTAATCTGACATTTTCACAGAGCAGAATCCGACAAGTACAGATCGATAACTAAACTCAGATTGACAAGCAAATACAAACAGGTATAGAAATGACAACTACACTCACGAATTGACCATCAGAAACCAAAGATATAGATGCACAGCTACACTCGTTGACATGGCAGTAACGGAGAGCTACAGCTTGATAACTACAGTCACCCACCTGCATTACAGTAACTGTCAGGGACAGATTGATGACACTCACACATTCATATGACAGAAACTGACAGGTACTGATTAATAACTCAACCCACATTTGGATCTCGCAGAAACTGACAGACACTGATAATTACACTCTCATTATCATTGCAGAAACTGAGATTTATAACTGCACTCTCACATTCACACAACAGAAACTGAGAGTACAGATTTGATAACCATAGTCGCACATTCATACTGCAATAAGTGATAGGGATGGAATGATCCTACCTATGAACTATTATAAGAAAGCAAGAAAACAATGTCATTTGTTCAAATTATCAACACAGCTTCCCACAAAATCCTGATATCCTGAAAATCTACAAAAATTTGATCAGGCCCTGGCGATTTAGCCACCTTTGTTTTTTTACCACCTCTAACACCTCCTGTTATGTCATGTGGACTGTTTTCAAGACATCCATATTTATTTCCCCAAGTTCCCTCGCCTCCACAAGGACAGAATGATAACTAAACTCATTCAAATAAGAGAAACAGATGGGGAGAGCATGATAATTACTCAAACCTGAAACTGACCAGTGCAGATGAATAACTACACTCAGATTTACAGAGCAGAAGTTGATGGTGACAGCATGATAACTGCTCTCACATACTCGCAGAGCAGAATCTGATGGTATATGTTCATAACAGAACTCTTACATTCACCTTGCAGAAACTGACAGGTATAGATTAATAACTGCACTCTCAGATTGACAAAGCAGAAACTGACAGGAACAATTTGATAAATACACTCACATAGCAGAAACTGACATGTACAGATCAATTCTCTCATATTGACATTGTAAACCGAGAAAAATTGGTACAAATTAATAACTGCAGTCATATACTGGCATTGCAGAAATTGACAGGTACAGGATGATAACTTTCATCACGTTTAAAAAAAAAAAACAGAGACTGGCAGAGACAGATTGATAACTGCATTCCCACATGTTTCCTTTTTTTTTTCATTCATGGGATGTGTGTGTCACTGACTATCCCTAATTGTGCACAGAAGGCAGTTAAGTGCCAACCACATTGCTGTGGGTCTGGAATCACATGTAGGCCAGACCAGGTAAGGATGGCAGATTTTGTTCCCAAAAGGACGTGAGAGGACCAGATTTTTTTCGTGGAGAATTGGCAGTAAACTCTTATTTTTAGTTCATTGTTGAATTAAAATTCCACCATCTGCCATGATGGGATTTGAACCGGGGTCCACAGAACAATATCTGGCTCTCTGGATTAATAGTCCAGCAACAATACCATTAGACTATTGCTTTTTCTATTCACATTCACATAGCTGAACCTGACAATTATGGATTGGTAATTACACGCTCAAATTCATGGAGCTAAAAGTGACAGAACAGATTGATAACTGCACTTTTATATTAACAGAAGGGATGCTGACAGGAACGGATTGATAACAGTATGCACAAGTTCATATTGCAAAAATTGGCACGTACAAATTGATAAATGCACTCAGACATTAGCAAACCAGAAACTGATGGGCAGAGGGTAATAACTAATGAATTAATAATTAATCATTCACAGAGCAGAAACTTGCAGGTATAGTCTGATAATTACACAAGAATATTCACTGGGGAGAAACTGACAAGGTCCAGATTGATAATGACAATCATATTCACACAACAGAAACTGGTTGGTACACATTGATAAGCACACTCTCTCAATTACAGAACAGAAACTGACAGTCATAGACTGATTTTCATTTTCATATTCACGTGTCTGAAAATGACAGGTACGATTTAATGAATGTGGTTGCATTTTTACAAGCAGAAACACTCGGGGTTATGTTAATAACTGCACCCACACATTCTCATCTCAGGAACTGACAGGTAAAGATGAAAAACCAAGCTCACATATTGACATAGCAGAAACTGAGAGGCATAGATTGATGCCTGCACTCTTACATTCAGATAGCAGAAAACGACAGGCACAGATGGATAAGTATACTCACCTTGCAGACACTGATACAAACATTCCCACATTACAATCTAACAAGTAAAGACTGACAACTACATTTTCATATTCACAAAGGGAAAAAAAAACTGTCAAGTACAGTTTGATAATTATACTGAAATAATCACAGAGCAGAATCTCACAGGTGCATATTGATAACTACTCTCTCACATTCACCTTGCCGAAATTGACAGATACAGATGGATAACTACACTGACACATACACAGCTCAAACTGACAGGAACAGGTTGACAACTACACTCGTTCATTCACGTGGCAGAAACCGACAGCTACAGATGATAACCACCACACTCATATTCACAGAGCAGAAACTGACAGGTTTACAAGTTGATAATCACATTCACATACTCACAACACATGTACTGATAAGGAATGATTGACATATTCACCTAGCAGAAACTGACTGGTACATAATGATAACTACATTTATGTATTCATAAAGCTGAATCAGACAGGTACAAATTGATAACTAAACTCATATTGAAATAGCAGAAACTGAAAGTTAGAGACTGATAGCAACACTCTCAATCTCATAGCTGAAACTGCGAGGTGTTGGTTGATATCTACACTGAAATTCACATCGCAAGAAGTGGCAGGTACAGATTAATTCCTTTCTTAGATATATAGAGGAGACGCTGACAGGGACAGGTTTGGAATTACACTCTCATAGTCACATAATAAACTCACAGGAACAAATGGATAATAACACTCCCACATCACAAAGCATAAAATCGCAGATACAGTTTGATATTTACAGTCAATTTCACACAGCAGAATCTGACAGGTACAGATAACTGCACCCATTTACTGACTTGGCAGAAACTGACGGGCATAGATTCAAACTTGCGCTCATGTATTCACATTGCAGAAACTGACGGATTCACTCTCGTATGCAGTGAAAATTTTCTGACAAAATTTGAATGTTATCCATCTCTAAAATTTATCCAAAATTTGATAAAGACGTTGAAATATTCACAGGGCAGAATAACACATGTATATACTGATAATAACACTCTCGCATTCACCGAAGAGAAATTAACAGGGAAAAATTAATAAGTGCATCATACATTCATGTTACAGAGACTGTCAGGAGCAGTTGCTTCCAAAATTCTCATATTCACAGAGCGGAATCGATCAGGGATAGACTAACGATTACACACACACATTCAGCAAGCAAAACTGACAGGTATAGATTGGTAACTACATTTACAGATTCACACACAAAAGTCTGATAAGAACAGATCGAAACTAAATTCACAGATAAACTCATAGCAAAAACGGACAGGTACAGAATTATAAATACATTTACACATTCACAAAACCAAAACCGAACAGTGAAAAAATGATAAATGAACACTCCGATTCAGAGAGCAGAAACTGATGAGGAAAGATTGATAAATACACTAACATGTGCACATTGCTGAGACTGACAGGAACAGATTGACAAATACACCCACACTCTCAGAGCAGAAACTGACAGCTACAGATTGATAACAACACGTGTGTATTCACATGGAAGAAAGTGGCATGGACAGATTGATGACTGCAGATTGATAACCACAGTCACACTTTCTCATTGCAGCAACTGACTGGGACATATTGATTGACAATCACTTGTTCACATGACAAAACTGACAGGTAGAGACTTAAAATGACAGTCAAATTCGCATAGCAGAATCTGACAGGCACAGATTAATAACTGCACTCACACATTCACATTGGCTGAAACTGACAGGTACATATTGATAAATGCATTCATACATTAACAAACCAGAAACTGACAGGTACAGATCAATACTGACACTCTCAGATGAACAGAACAAAACTGACAGGTACAGGCTGGTGATTAAACTTGGACATTGAAATTGTAGAGACTGACGGGTACATATTAATAACTATTTGGATTTTCACAGGTAGAGATGGATAACTACATTCAAATATTCGTACAGAAAAAGTTGGCTGGTACAAATTGATAACTATATTTACATATCCACAAAACGGAGACTAAGATGACAAATTGATCAATACATTGACATTACAGAAACTGACAGTGCTTTAATCTGTGGGGCTGTGGGCTGTGTGCAGGAAGGTGGGATTAGAATAGCCATGTTTGTCTTTGGGTTGGAATGGACAAGATAGGCCGATAGGCCAACAGCCGTCTTCAGTGGTATATCATTTCAATGGATGTATGGTTCTATATCAATCTGTCCCTGTCAGTCTCTGCTGTGTGAATACATAAGTAATTTAACAAAGGCTTAGATTGTGTGAGTGTAGTTATCATTCACCAAGTAGGAACTGACATGAATAGATCAACAACTAAACTCATATTCACAGACCCACTTGCATTGGGTAGCCCCATTCATGGAACTGTACACCTGTTGGTTAGTTTCTGGACTTCACTCAATTGGTATGGAATTAACAAAAAGAAAAATCACCAGACAGGGAGCAGCTTAGAGCAAGAGTGGCATCAGACACACAATTCTGTTCAAATTCCTGGCTTGAAATAAAATATTGTAATGAATATTAACTAAACATTGCATTGATCAATTAAATATTATCAAACTTGGCTGATGTTGATTTACGGGAGGTTTTTCTTCTGTCTTTCTCCAGGCAAATACTTGAAGGACTAAGAGAAAGTGATATTCCCTCAGTCCAAAGCCAAGTGTGACCAACAGATTCTAACAAACAAGGTATTTTACCGCTGTCAGAGCAGAGAACATCCTTCCCACAGGTGCAGAGCAGATTGAATCAGACATACATTGAAGTCAATTTCCAGCGAGATATGCTCAAACAACACAGAGGAAATACAAGTTTTTTTTTTTTTTTTGTTTTTTCACCATTCACAATGCACACCTGCCCAGTTTGAACAAATTTCCGCATTTCAAGTTTGGCAAAGATCTGCAGCTCGGGTAGTTGCTGGGATAATGTTGCTGACTTGCTCGCTGAGCTGGCTTGTTTTTGTTCAGAAGTTTTCATCACCATGCTCGGTGACATCATCAGTGGAGCCTCTGATGAAGTGATGTGTTCTGCTCCACGTGGAATTTATACTGTCTGGTCCGTTATGGTGAGTACTGTCATTTCTGGTTTTGATCTGTATGAGTTTATATATGGGGTCCGATTCTATATGTTTGTTGATTGAAGTATGGATGGAAAACCATGCCTTTCGGAATTCCCATGTGTGTCTATGTTTGGCTTGGGCTACTATGGTTACTTTGTCCCAGTTAACCTGATGGCCTTCATTGTCTGAATATACAATACATTCAGACAATGAAGGCCGTCAGTTGAAATGGGACAAAGTAACCATATAAAAACTGAAAGAACTGTGGATGCTGTAAATCAGGAACAAAAACAAAGTTGCTGGAAAAGCTCATCAGTAACTGGTTCTGAGGAAGGGTCACTGGACCCGAAAGGTTAACTCTGTTTTTTCCTTACAGATTCTGCCAGACCAGCTGAGCTTTTCCAGCAACTTTGTTGTTGTTGGACAAAGTAACCATAGTAGCCCAAGCCAAACATAGACGTGCACAGAAATTCCTAGAGGCATGGTTCTCCACACAAACATATAGAATTGGACCCCATATATAAACCCATACAGATCAAAACTGAAATGACAGTACTCACCATAATGGACCAGACAGTATAAATTCCACACGGAGTAGAACAACATCGCTTCATCGAAGGCTCCACTGATGATATCACCTAGCATGGTGACGCAACGTGTGAACAAAAACAAGCCAGCTCGGTGAGCAAGTCAACGTCACATTTCAGCATTCATAGCCCATTGACATTTACACCATTTTTGAAGATGGATGGACCGAATACTCGTCCCAAATATATACTCAGGAACTGAATCTAAGCTGCATTAAATCACCCTAATAACAACTACCACATAACAAATTCTCACTGAGAATATTACTGGCTTCCACAGAGTTAAGCCACGTTATCAAATCAAAACTGACAAGCATGTATTGATAGCTCTGCTCATTCATTTACATTGCAGAAACAGGCAAAAACAGATTGATGATGACACTCACATATTGACATAGCAAACTTTACCTGTTAGTTTTGCTAAAAACATTCACAAGTTCACATTATAAAAAGGTATATGTACACATTAATAACTATGCTCACATATCAAACTAACAGGACCTGACATATCCACATTATAGAAACACAGAAGAACAGATTGATAGTAACACTCCCAGATTCACAGCATAACCTGACAGGTCCAATTTTATAACTGCATTCAAATATCCACAGATTTAAAAAAAAACTGTCAGGTGCAGTATGATAACTACACTCCACTTTTCACAAGCAGATTCTCACAGGTACATATTGATTACTAACCTCACATATCTGTACAGCAGAAACTGACAGGGACATGTTGATAATTAGTCACACCACTAATATTGTGGTAATAGTGATGGATAGATTCATGACACTCAGATGTTCACATGACAGAAACTGCCAAATAACTACATTCTCATTCACATTGCACTTTTCAACAAAAACAGGTTAATAACTACAATTTTCGATATCAGAAAGTATGAGGTACAAATGAATAACTGTGCTGCAACATTCACCTAGCAGAAACTGGCATTGCAGATCAGTAACTGAACTCCAATGTTGAAATAGCAGAACCTGTCAGGTAGAGACTGATAGTGCTAAAATAAAAACTGACTGGTACAGATTGATAAATAAAATCACATTCAAATTTCAGAAACTGGCAGGAACAGATTAGTAAATATGCTCACACATTCACACAACAATAACTGTCCTAGAAAGATGAGTAAGCACACTCATATTCACAATGCAGAAATTGATAAGAGCAAATTGATAATTGCACACCCAGTTTCACAGCAAATTAACTGACAGGTACAGTTTTGATAACTACATTCACACGTTCAGACAAGAAACTGACAGGCATGTATTGACACTCACATATGCACCGAGCAGAAATTGACAGGTCCAGATCAATCTGGACATAACAGAAACTAAGAGGGCCAGGTTAGTAATTACAGTCACACTCTTGAATTGCACTAACTGACAGGGACACATTAATGACAACAATTACATTTTCACGTGATAGAAACGGACAGGTACAGATAATAAATACATTTCCATATTCCCAATGCAGAAACTGAGAGAGAGGCTGTGAAATGAACATAAACATATGGATAACTAAACTCTCATTCACAGCAGAAATTGGTAAATACACGCACACACGTACATAGCAAAGACCTGATATCGACAGATTGATAACTACAATTACACATTCACACAGGAGAGAGCTTCGGGGATAGACTGATAATTACACAAGCATAATCACTGGAGGAACTGATTGGTACAGATTGATTACTACACACTCATTCGGTCAGCAGAAACTGATGGACAGATTGTGAGGGAGTAATAATCATTCACCTAGTGGAAGCTGAAATGGCAGATCGATAACTGCACTCCCATTTTTACACAGCCAATAATGAGAAATAAAACTAACCCTTCGTCAAACTGAAATTCTGAACAGCACAATATCATTCACACTGTAATCAGGGACTCATTGATAGTGATAAAACAAAAAAAAATCTACACAGAAGAGATTGTCACCATTAAAATTTGCAAAAGGTACTGTGTTCAAAATATTCTTAAATGACAATAATCAGTGTGAATAAAGTTGACAAATAAAGTTCAGAGAAAATCCATGAAAAACAATTATTGCTAGAAACTGAAATGCACAAAATAACATCCACGCTAATTAAGTGCAAAGCAAGATTCCAGGAAGTGAAATGGAGGCAGAAAGCTGCTGACACTGATTGAAGAGCCTAAGGGATAGAGAGTAAAATTTGTGTAATCAGCAGAAAGCGAAAGGCACGGGTCACAGTACATCAGTTCTCTTTTGTCATCGAGGTAATCCGTGTAAAACTGATACCGATACACGCTGGCAGGTAGTCTGATGAAAGTATGAATAGTTTGGGCCTATACTCATTGGAGATTTGAAGAAGGACGTCAAACCTTTCGAGGAAACGAAAACTGAAGGGTGTTGACGGAGCAGATGCTGGTATAATGTCCTTAAACTTCAGAGAGTGTAGAACAAGAAACACGAGCAAGAGAGAACATTCCCTAACTCCCATGTTCATCAAGCACGATGCAATTGTCAGTAGTTCCATCATTTCCAGGAGTGAAACACACCACTGTCAGATTTCAGTGCATTTTGTCACTTGACAACGAACGTGATGACATTTTTAAACGGAGGAGAAAAGAAAACCATTATCAAAAGATGTAGAATAAATCGCGATTAGGATCTCACGATTTAGAGAAAGCTCGGAGTTTGATCCGTGTACAAAATTTCGATTTGCGTTTGAAATTTCATTGCAGATCCAGGCAGATCCACGTTGTGTCCCACACTAACCAATCACAGAAAGGGTAATGTCATGTTTTAACATTCTTGTAAACTACCCATTCAGGAACAAGGCTTTTTCCCATCCTTCATTAGCATTGCTGACGCTGTCAGGCTATAAAAAGCGAGCTCTGTGCCCGCTTTTTCTTATTCTGTGTTGAATATTGACTGTCGCAATGGTAGAGGAAAAGAAAGGACAAGTTGCCAAGAAGGGCGCTAAGAAAGTCGTGAAGAGGGCGCCAGCGAAAAGCGGCAAGAAGAGGAGAAGGTCTAGGAAAGAAAGTTACTCTATCTACATCTACAAAGTGATGAAGCAGGTTCACCCCGACACCGGCATCTCCTCCAAGGCCATGAGCATCATGAACTCATTCGTCAACGATATTTTCGAGCGCATCGCGGGGGAGGCTTCCCGCCTGGCCCATTACAACAAGCGCAGCACTATCAGCTCCCGGGAGATCCAGACCGCCGTGCGGCTGCTGCTGCCCGGGGAGCTGGCAAAGCACGCCGTGTCGGAGGGTACAAAGGCGGTGACCAAGTACACCAGCTCCAAGTGAGACATCACAGTGTGCTGAAAAAACACACATCCAAACCCCAACGGCTCTTTTAAGAGCCACCCACAGCTTCCCTGAAACAGCTGAACTATTATGTTAATGTCTGTACGACATTTGTATTTTATAAATCTTCTGTAAATTAACAAGTGATCCCTGACCCTGTGCGCGCTTGTTCTCGGAGGTGTGCATACACATCTGTAATCGCTGCCTGTGGACAGGGGTCATGTTAAACACCAGTGAGCTATTTTGAACAATTTCTGTATGATCGTGTTACCCTCTGTCACTCAATCGATTCAGAAGCTACAAGACCTGGTGGGGTATGCAAAAGGGCAAGCAAGAAAATATACTTTTCCTCCGAGTTCCATTTCACCCTTTTGTTTTATTTCCAGATCTCCTCGCGGGTTGCTGAAGCTTTTTGCTGTCGGGGAGATACTTTGAAAATGAGCCGAGATAAAACCAGAACAGCTGCTGGACTGACATAGTAAATGTGGAGCTTTTGCTGAACTCTGATCGAGTGCAATAAGGGAGGGCCGCTTTTAAATATTCTCGAAAAACGGTGTCCGCAATTAAGGCGCTCACCTGGAAGAACGTTATCAAATGTTTTATCAACTTATCGGGTGTTTTTGAAATGCGAAATAAATTAGTTGCAGAGTGCAGATTTTGGCGCTTATTTGTTTCCGCTTACATTTAATGTTCAGAAAATCCGATTCTCGGTCAGAAATTGACATATTCAAGGAGGTGAGGGAAAGGGAGATTATGTAAAGTATACATTCAGAATCTAAATGTAAATTATCTCGAGTATTCGTGCATTCTATTGTGTTAATCTTCCTACTTTTTGATAGATATTGGCGGGCTTTTCAAATCCGAAAGAAAGCGTTGCATGATTTGGCGCCGGTATTTTCCGGCCTGCTCCCCGGGCCC